GTTTTAGAATCAAGACAGGACCTGAATCCAAACTTCCTCTCAATAGAAAGACCAATGAGAATAAATTTTCCTAGCAGGCGAGGAAAGTAAGAAATTTAAAAATATGACGGAGAAAATGGTGAAAGACTTTGACTTATAGAATGTAGATTTTTAGCTTTGAATCATCAGTCCACAAAATTTTTGTTTGCTTTTAATGGTGCTGGAGATTGGCCCATGAATTTATACATGCTAAACAGGTGCTCTGCCGTGAGCTACATCCCTATACTACTAGACTTTTATGTAGGTGCTATCATGATGTGCTTATGTACTAAATTGGAGTGGAAGAGGTCAGCCTAAGGGATAAAGTGACATAAATGGAAATGGTGGCTTGGATAATTAGTGTGACAGGCAAGATTGAAAGATGTCCTTGCGGGTTGAACATAGCACCTTTGTACTGAGCTACATCCCCAGCCCATTTTTTTTGTTTTGAGAAAGGGTCTCACTAAATTGTTTAGTTGACTAGGCGGGGCTTGAATTTGCATCTTCTCATCTCAGCATCCCAGAGTGCTGGGATTAGAGGTCTGTGCTGCCAGGCCTGGTTTCCCTAAAGTTTTGATGAAGGGATCTAAAAGATTAGGAGGTCTATGATGAGGATAAGTCAGCAAAGGATCTTTATCTGATACCTGGAAAGGGATAAGTGAACATGAAATTTTTACATGAAAAATAGTAATGTAGCCCTGTTTCTTCAGGAAGCAAAAGATAAAGATGGTTGTTTAAATCAGAATTGTCCAGGCTGGGCTGGAACTTGCTGTCCTCCTGCCTCAACTTCCCAGAGTGATACTGGGATTATAGACATGTGCCACCATGCCTGCTGATGCTGATGACTCTTATACTACTCATGAAGCGAAATGCATGATCACTCTAACTCCCTCACAAAATCAGCTCCCCACCCCATTCTTGTGTACTTTGTTGCAGGAAGCAAGAGAGGAATAAAAACTATCTTTTTTTTTTTTTTTTGTTCAAGTGTCCACAGAAGTCAACTTAGCATATTGCACAACTGCAATACATTTTTTTCTTTTTTTTTTTTGGTACTGTGGATTGAACTCAGGACCTTGCACTTATGAGGCAGGTGGTGGCACCTCTAAGCTAAATTCCAGCCCTTTCTGCATACATTTTTTTTACTGGATTATTTCATCTTGCCTGTAGCCCATGTACTTTTTTTTTTTTTTTTTTTTTTTTTTTATATTAATTTTTTCTCCAATCATTTCATCATTCCTCTTCATACGAAGGCCATGGTCCAAGAACCCAGACCTCATGATTTCAGGAAACCCTGTTCCTCTGTGGGTGACTCCCTTAGATCAGGTCCTTACGTGCAAGGCAAGTGGCAGAACCACTGAGCTAAATCCCCAGCCCTAGCCCATGTACTCTTATCTTCTACATCTATGGTTCTGACAAGAGCCACCTGCATCCTTAGTGTAGTTACCTTCAACTGTACATATCATTCATTACAATTGCTTATTGTGTGCCTGCTGTGTATCATAATAACTATGTATCCTATTCACATTGCTGAATGTAAGGCAAGTGGCAGAACCACTGAGCTAAATCCCCAGCCCTAGCCCATGTACTCTTATCTTCTACATCTATGGTTCTGACAAGAGCCACCTGCATCCTTAGTGTAGTTACCTTCAACTGTACATATCATTCATTACAATTGCTTATTGTGTGCCTGCTGTGTATCATAATAACTATGTATCCTATTCACATTGCTGAATGTAAACTGTAATAATGAAATGGGTTGCTAGGTTTGGCTGTATCTGAAAGAGCCTCCAAATAAGTGATTTAAGCAAGACAGACATTTTTCTCTCACATAAAAATGAAGCAGTATGGCAGTTCTGTGCACAAAGTCCTAGGGCCCTGCCTTTCTCATTGCTCCAATATTCTGGGTGTTGCCAGACTATACCTCACCCAGATAACTCATTCCCAGTTTTTCAGCAAGCCAGCAGGAAGTGGGGAAACAAGTCGCCTGTATCTTTTTCATCATTTCCCATTGGTCGGAATATGGTCTTATGGTCACACTCCAGCTACCAGGTTGAGTTGGAACAGCATTTCTTCTGTATTTCTTTATATGCCCAGTGAAATACCTATTATTTAACAGGAGGGAGAAATGAATATTGGGATGACCAGCCGTCTCTGCCAGAATCAGGACTTTGTTTTATACTTCTTTCGAGTATTGCACAGTACTTAGCACTATGCTTTATCCATAAGGTCTGAATAAATTATTTTGTTAATTGTTTTGTATAAAATCCTGGAGGTCTTTAAGTCTTGGATTTATCTCCTATGGTGGCAATATGAACCCTAAAATTATCCACAGAAATTCTTTCTATCCAGGCGACAATGGAGGCAGGATAATATTAGTTGGATAGCATGATGTTTAACTTATATGTTGTTTTCCAGTCGCCTGCAAAAAATTAAAAAATGAGAAGAAACCTTTTGTTGGTGACACTGCAAGTACAAAAAGGGAGCAGCAATTCCTGTAGCTTAAATGGTAGGGCCTGGCAGTCAAGCTGATCTATCTGCTTTGCCTGCTGTGAACATGCAGCCTTCAGTGCTTCTCAGATAGAAGTCATTTAGGAAACATAGTTGTGATTTTGGCCATACCTCCCTGTCTCTACTATGCTTTACTTAAAATGTGTCCTTAAATGTGATTTCATTTATTGTTTCCTAAACTTAGCCTTCTGTGAGCAGTAATCCTTAAACTGACTTGGAATTTGCTAATGTACATATTAGGTACATAAATACTAAAATAAAAACTTTTTATTCTGTTTTTGTATGTGTGTGTGTGTGTGTGTGTGTGTGTGTGTGTGTGTGGTACCAGGCATTGAACTTGGGTCCTTGCACTTTCGAGGCAGGCAGTGGAACCACTGAGCTACATCCCTGGCCCTAAAAGCTCTTTTTAAATACCTAAAGAATCTTGATATTAATAGCACGTGTACTTAAAGAAATAGTGATTTGACCCATTCTCTAGGCCACATGGGTGGCTGTTTGTAAACTTTCCATAAATCCACAGTTACTAAGTGATTCTGAATTTATACTTTCAATTCTGGTAGGGAAAGTACTACTAGATAGTGTTTACTTTTGAACTATAGAAGCTTTATTGGAGGTGAATGGTTTGAGAGATGGTCTCACTATGTTGTTCAGGCTGGCTTTTTAAATTTTGGCAATCCTTCTGCCTCAGCCTCCCAAGTGCTGGGATTACAAGCATGTAATTACACACTTAGTAGCTCCTGAAATTTTGATTGAATTATTAACCAGCTGAAGATCTGTTCCAGCTTACTTTTGTTGAGCTGTATTTTCATTTTATTTATCTTATTTTTCAGTTTTTATTTTTTTAGTACAATGTTTACATTAAATGATTATATTCCTTGTGGGGAATTGTGCATGCATATAACACATTTTAATTCTTTTTTTATCCCCATTTTCCTCATTTTAAAAATAGGTCTCATCAGGTGTGGTGGTGCACGCATGTAATCCCAGCACATTGTGGGGCTGAGCCTGGAGGATATCAAATTTGAGCCCAGCTTGGGCAATTTAGCAATTTAGTTTAGTGATACCCTGTGTCAAACAAATAAACAAAAAAAAAGGGAACCAGGGTTGTATCTCAGTGCAGAGGCCCTGGATTCACCCTTAGTAATGATTTAAAAAAGCAGCATTGAGGGCCGGGGATTTAGCTCAGTGGTTCTGCCACCTGCCTTGCAAGCGCAAGGACCTGATTTTGATCCCCGGTACCAAAAACAAAACAAAAAAAAACCCCAGCATTGTTTATTTCATACAGTTGTTCTGAGGATTAAATAATGTATGTAAAAAGCTTTGTAGTGGAGGACAGCCTCTCTACTGTTGATGGATATTTTGTGTTATACTTTTGGACTGTCTTGCGTAAACTTGATAATGAGCATTCTTGAATGTCTTTTGGTGGTCGTATGCATTTATACTTCTTACATATTATACATACCTAGGAGTAGATCTCCTGAATGATAGCTATATTTATTTATTTATTTCTGTCGGTACCAGAGATTGAACTCAGGACTTTGCACTTGCCAAGCAGGTGTGGCGCCACTGAGCTAAATCCCCGTCCCCTTGTTTAATTTTAATATATACTGCCAAATAGTTTTCCAAAGTACCTAAACTGTGTTATATGCTCTCATCAGAAAGAATGAAAATTCCAGTTGCTCTACATTTTTTCCCATAGTTGATACTGTCTTAAAGTTTCGGTCTTCTGCTGGGAAGGCAGTGGTATTTCACTGTGGTTTTAATTTACATCTTTCTGGTAAGTAATGGTATAGAAGCACCTTTTCATAGGTTGATTGAGTATTGAATATCTGTCTTAGTCACTTTTCTTGTCCCTGGAACACAATATCCGGCATCCACAACTTAAAAGGAGAGAGATTTTTTTTTTTTGCCTAATGTTTTGTAGAGGTATCAGTCCATAGTTGTCTGTCTCCAGGGTAGAAGTAACATGGTAGAAGGGTCGAGGTAGAAGGAAGCTGCTTACCTCATGGCATCTAGGAAAGCAGAGTGAGTCAAGGAAGATCTGGGGAGGGAGATCTAATCTTTGTTTACAGTGACCTACCTCTTCTGACCAGGCCCAACCTCTTAACGGCAAGTCAGGCAAGTCAGGAACTACTGGACCTGGCTGAACTTTTCTTAATTTTATTTTTTGAGGTACTGGGGATCAAACTCAGGACCTTGTGGTTGCCAGGCAGGTACTGTGTCACTGAGCTACATCCCCAACCCTGAACTTTCTTAATTTTAAGGAAGTCAAATTTGTCATTTTTTTCCTTCTATACTTAGTGTATTTGTCTGTTTATGAATTTACCTGGAATCAAACTCAGGATCTTGCACTTGTGAGGCAGGCCCAGTGTCACTGAGCTAAATTCCTGGCCCCTGTTTATGAAATTTTTGTTCTTGATATTAAAATATTTATTTATATTTGAAACTAATTTATTTTTTCTACATTAATATAGGTGACGCCATGGAGAGTGGAAGACCTGGGCCAGTGCAAGTTGTTTTGGTTCACAAAGACCAACATTCCTTTGAGCTAGAAGAGAAAGCCTTGACCAGCATCCTCCTACAGGATCATATCCGAGATCTTGATGTGGTGGTGGTATCTGTGGCTGGTGCCTTCCGTAAGGGCAAATCCTTCATTCTGGACTTCATGCTACGGTACTTATATTCTCAGGTGAGGAAAAATTAGTTCACTTGAAGAAAGAAAATGAGATGTTTATGTGCAAAATAAGGTCATGAATTATTTTAGTATATGAGATTACTTATTTAAATTTAACAAGGGAGCTAGAGATGTAGCTCAGTGGTAAAGCACTTGATTAGCAGGTACAGGGCCCTGGCATACACAAAAAGATTTAATGGAAGTCTTTTATTTCTTTTGTAGAAGGAAGGTGGTCATTCAAGTTGGTTGGGTGACCCTGAAGAACCATTAACAGGATTTACCTGGAGAGGAGGTTCTGACCCAGAAACCACTGGGATTCAGATCTGGAGTGAAGTTTTCACTGTAGAGAAGCCAGGTGGAAAGAAGGTAAGAAAGAAAAGACTTTTCACATATTCTAGACTGTTAGCAATTCTTTAGATGTTAGCCAAAATAGAGTTTAATATGAATGTCTTATTTTTTAATACTCAGGGAGATTTTACCTTTGAACTTTCGTGGCTTAAAAAGTAGAGAAATGTTTTCATTTGCTTGTACTTTTTAATTAAAAGTCAATAGTCTTTTTTTTTTTTTTTTTTGAGACAGGGTCTCACTATGTAGTTGAGACTGACCTGGAACTCACTATGTAGCCCAGGTCAGTCTCAAACTCACAGCGATCTTCCTGCTTCAGCCTCCGGAGTGCTGGGATTACAGTCGCGGGCCACCAGCCGCCACGCCAGGCTAAAAGTCAACATTCTTTAATATGTATATCTGGCTTATTTACTTTAAATTAGCATATGAATATAGTACGTTTTATACATTTCCTTACTGGTAGACTTTTTCATTGCCTTTTTATTTATTTTTTGGTAGTATGAAAGTATGTTGGGGGGAGGAGGGACTTGAACTCAGGGCTTTTATACTGTCCTACATTCCCAACCCCTTTTAAAAATTTTTGTACTTTTGAGACAGTTTTGTTAAGTTTTCCAGGTTGGATTTGGGCTTTCAATCCTCCTGCCTCAGCCTCCTAGGGTGCTGGGATTAGAGGTGTTTCCCTCTTTCAGCTTTTCTTTTGTATCATTCTTATTACAGTGAACATCCTGATAAATATCTTCATGTATAAATGCATAATTGTGTCTTTTGTTTTTTTTAGTACTGGGATCAAACTCAGGACCCAGGGCCACTGAACTAAATTCCTGGCCCCTATTTAGTTGTGTCTTTAGGCCACAGCTTTTTAAACTATGTTCATTACCCATTATGGGTAGAGAAATCAGTCTATTGGCTTGTGACTAGCTGTTTTAAGAAGAAAGGACTGTAGGGCTGGAATTTAGCTCAGTGGCACCACACCTGCCTTGCAAGGTCCTGAGTTCGATCCCCTGAACCAAAAAAAAAAAAAAAAGGAAGGACTGGAATACAATTGAAAACAGTGGCGTGTAAGCTAAGCATGGTGGCACATGGCTGTAGTCCCAAAACTTGCCTACTTACTTATAGCTACTGACTGGTTATTCTAGCTACTTAGTTCCCTTTTTGTCATCAGTTTCCTTAGCTGTCATCAGTTTCTAATGAAAACTTCCAGTGATTTTTCACTGTATATATAAAACCAAATGTTAGACAATTCAGTTTCTTTTAAAAATATGTAGTATATTCTACTGACTGGTCTCTGTTTTTCTTTTTCTCACCTAAATAACCTAAAGATTATTTTATACTGATACACAGAACTTTTCCTTTTTTTTTTTGACAGGATCTTACTTTGTAGTCCAGGCTGGCCTTGAGCTCCATGTAGCTCAGGTGGACCTCAAACTTGTGGACTTCAGCGAGCCTTGCCAACACCTGATACCTTTTGGTTTAGCCAGTCTGTCAGGTGTGAAGTACGTCTCCTGGTAGTTTGGATTTGCATTTGCATTTCCCTAATGTCTAGTGATTCTGAGCATCTTTTCCTATGCTTATTGGCCATTTCAGTATCTTGTTGGGAAAAATCTTTATTCAAATCAAATCCATATTTTAGTTGGGTTATCTTTTTAATTTGTTTTTGGTAATGGGGATTGAACTCAGGACCTTGCATGTTTGAGGCAGGCATGGTGCCACTGAACTAAATCCTCAGCTCTGGGTTATGTTTGTTTTTATTTATTTATTTATTTTGGTTTTTGGAGACAGGGTTTCACTATGTAGTTGAGACTGACCTGGAACTCACTATGTAGCCCAGGCTGGTCTCAAACTCACAGTGATCCTCCTGCCTCAGCCTCTGGAGTGCTGGAATTGCAGGCGTGTGCCACCACCCCTGGCTTGTTTTTATTTTTTTAAAGAAGGTATTTTTTTTTGTAGTGCTGAGGATTGAATCAGGGCCTAATGGTTGCTAGCCAAGTGCTCTACCACTGAGCCATAAGCCTCAGCCTTTTAAAAATTACTTTTATTTTGAGATAGTCTTGAGGAGTTACCCATATTGCTCTTAACTTGGGATCCTCCTGCTTCAGCCTTCTGAGTAGCTGGGATTACAGGCATGTGGCACTACTTCTGGCTCTTGTCTTTGTTTTTGAGTTGTAGAAGTTCTTGACACATTCCAGATATTAGACATTTTTCTCACTTTGTGGATTGCCTTTTCACTTTGTTAATGTCTTCAAGTAAAAAAGTTATTCATTTTGATAATTATTTTTCTTTGGTTGTTTATGTGTTAGGTATTATATGTAACAAACGGTTGCCTAATGCAAGGTAACTGAGATTTAGGTGTATGTTTTCTTTGGAGAGTTTTGTGATGTTATATTTGAGTCTGATCTATTTAAAGTTAATTTTGTTTATAGTATAAAATAGGAATCCAGTATCATTCTTTTGTATATGAGTGTTTGTCCAGCCAGGATTAGGTTTTTTTTTTTTGTTTTTTTTTTGGTACCAGGGGTAGAACTTGGGTCCTTGTGCTTGTGAGGCAGGCAGTGGAACCACTGAGCTAAATCCCCAGCCCCAGGATTGGTTTTAATTGCTCATGTAATTTGATAGTACCTTTATCACAAATGAATAGAAGGTGAACCATGATTACATTTTCTGTCATTGGATTTCAGTGTATTCAGGCTAGAAACTTGATCATCTTTTCTGCCCAGGATTCTTTTGCTTTAATTTTATCTTATGTTCTACCATGGTGTTGATTAGGATAAGGAACATAAATTGAAAGGCAAACAGTGTGACAGGATTTGAATATAAACAATTGTAAGTATATTACTCCTAAGAATAACAATAGTTATATTTCATTTGTACTTATTATAAATCTTATTTTAAAATGTTTTTGACTATGAAATCTCTCTTCTTGGACTTGATAGAATCTCACAAAAAGCTTCTCTGCTGGCTTTTGCAGTAATCTAGGTTTCAATGAAGTCAGGCACTCATTTGATAAATTTACTTTTTTTGTAACTTTCATTAGTACACGTTTGCAGTAGACAAATGTACTTATCTTTCTGAGTGTGTTAAACTTTGTCCTCTCTTTGAACTACCTATGTTATGTACAGATTTGAAGATTTATGTTTAAATTATATGACTTTGAATAATGAATAACATCATATAAGGATTATAAAGTATTATGTTAACATTTTGCATACATCTTATTTTTTGAGTGCAATAGATAGACTCTTCAGCCATTTTAGAAAACCTGAGGTTTTCATAAAACCTTGTTGTATATTTATTGTTATTTTAAAATTTTTATTAGTATGTGTCTGCAGTATATACATAATGGTTACATTTATCATGGGGAGTTGGTATATTTACTCAACTAATTCTTTTTTCTTCCCTTCGCCTCCTTTCATCCTTGTATTTTATAGAGATCAGTGGTGGTAGCCTAGACCCACCATGTAGCATCTTTGTTGTATTCTGTCTTTTGTGAAGGCTGAAATAAACATTAATTAATTTTCTTTCTTTGTTTTTTTTTTTTTTTGGTATCGGGGATTGAACTTGGGGCCTTGCGCTTGTGAGGCAGGCGTTGGAACCACTAAGCTAAATCCCTACCCCCTCTTTCTTTTCTTTTGGGTACTGGGATTGAACTCAGGACCTTCTGTTTGCGAGGCAGACATGGCACCACTAAGCAAAATCCCTGGCCCAAATGTTAATTTTCTTAATGTGAAACAACCAGGAAACATTAGAAATTGCAGGAATGAATATAGTCTTGCAGATAAATGACAAAAATATCTCAGCCCATAAGATTAAACTTGCTGGGTGTGGTGGCATATGCCTGTAATCCCAGCACTCAGGAGGCTGTGAGGCAAGAGGATTGCCCTGAGTTTGGGGCCAGCCTACGCTACACAGTAAGACCCTGTCTAAAAAAGGAAAATTAAATTTAAGTCAGTTCTTTAAATTTCTTTTTCAACATTATCAGTAACAACAAAAACATGAATGGCTGGCTGATGGTGGTAGTTGGCTAATTGGCTGATAATGAGCTAATGGACTTCAGTATTGGACTTTTTCATTGTAGGGCAATGCATGTTGTTCTGTATGCCTGTTTTATAACATCTTACCAGGTCACAACACATCCTCTACAGCAAAGTGCTTGAGTCCGAGCAAGAGCAAGGCACCTAAGTAATTGCACTTTTCTAGGAGCTGTGAGCAGGGATTAAAGGCTCATGTAACAAATATATTCTTTACATGTCCCTCCTTTTCACTTTAACCCATTTGTATGTTTTTTGAGATAGGGTCTGGCTATGTAGTTAAGACTAGTCTTGAACTTTCTATGTAGCCCAGGCTTGCCTTGAACTTGCAGTGGTTCTCCTGCCTTAGTCTCCCCAGTGCTGTGATTACAGGTGTGCACTACCATGCTCAGCCCGTTTGTGTGTTTTTTTTCTTTTTTTGTTTAGGTTGCAGTTGTTCTGATGGATACCCAGGGGGCATTTGACAGTCAGTCAACTGTGAAAGACTGTGCTACCATCTTTGCTCTGAGCACCATGACTAGTTCTGTTCAGGTAAAACCGCTTGACTGGAAATAAAAAAGGAAATGCAGTAAATGGAGAACATCTAGTTTTAGTTACTGTGTTATTAACAAGATTCCTTGGATGATATAGAAATATTCTTTTAGATATACATGTAATTTCTTAGGAATTCAAGAGAAGCTAAATTATTTTTCTGTTTTGATGGTAAATTATATAAAACATGTTTCCAAAAAAGCCAAAAACATGGAAATTGAAATTATATCAGTTTGTCATATAGAAAATAGTAAGCACTAGAAAACTATGAAAACAGGCTTACAGTTTTCCAACAGACAGATAATATTACTGTTTGAACAGGCTTCATATTGTATACAAATCTTCTTTTTTTTTTTGGTACTGGGGATTGAACTCTGGACCTTGTGCTTGTAAGGCAGGCATGGTACCACTGAGCTAAATCCCCAGCCCTACAAATCTTTAATTGTGCAAAACTTCTGTTCAGTGCTGTAGACTTTTTTGGGATTTGAAGTAAGCCCTGAATTCTTGTTTTCTAGATATACAATTTGTCCCAGAACATTCAAGAAGATGATCTTCAACAGCTGCAGGTAGTTATTCCTCATATACTTTAACATTATATTATATCATGTTAAACTTTTAAGATTAAGAAAAATAAGGGTAGAGTGTTTAGCTCAGTGGCACTGTGCCTGCCTGACAAGTTTAAGGTCCTGAGTTCAATCCCTGGTACTGCAAAAATAATTGGGTAGTTTTTGGTAAACAGAATGTGAGGGAAGGTTTTTGGTTTATAGTAATCCTGTACTTTGTATATATTGCTGAAGTGGATCAGAGTGGTCAGAAAGGCCTTACTGATTTGGGCACAGAGTGGAAGAGAGTGGGTAACTAAGTCGTTGAGGTACATCATGGGGAAAGTATTAAAGGAGAGGGAGCAGCAAGGATGGTCTGAGGTGGAGTGGAGCAAGGTGACTGATAAGTTGGGTTGGAGTGTGTGATGGAAGGGGCTAAATGATGAAGTCAGAGAGGCAGTGAGGTCTACATCATGTGGGATTTGAGCTTTTCCCTGGGGGAGATGGGAGCCAAGAGAGTTTTGAGCAGAGGAATGATGTTGTGAGTTACTGTAAAAAGATCACTGGCTGCCTTTTTCAGAACAGATTTTTAGCAACACTTGGGAGGCTGAGACAGGAGGATTGCTGTGAGTTTAAGACCAGCCTGAAATGCATAGCAAAACCCTGTCTCAAAAAGACAAAAAACGAAACAAAACAAAAATAGATCTTTTAGGAAGGCAGAAATGCGTTTAGTGAGACCGGTCATGGAGTTGTTGCAATATTCAGGTGAGGTTAAAAAATTAATATTTGTTAAGTGCATAGTACAATGTTAAATGCTTGGAAAATAGTATGTGCTTAATAATTGCTAGCCATTGTTACTGTTATTATGTATTCTTATTTAACATCTTGTCTATGGCAGCATTTCTCATCTGTTTTTCTGGGTTATCCAAGGTTGGCTCTGATTCCTGGCATGCTTCTCTAATTTCTGCTTCCCTTGCCAACATTGAAGGAAACATCAAAACTTGAGTGAGGGGGTCATTATTTTTCTGGTATTGGGGATCGAACTCAGGACCTTGCACTTGAGAGGCAGGCACAGTGCCACTGAGCTAAATCCCTGGCCCAATGGGTCATTATTAATAGGGAGTTTAAATTAGATTCATGTTCCTGTCTTTTAAAAATAAATAGAGCAAATCATTCTTAAATATTGGCCTCTAGGGCCGGAGATTTAACTCAGTGGCGCCTACCTGCCTTACAAGCACAAGGTCCTCAGTTTGATTCTTGCTACTGGAAAAAAAATAATTGGCCTGCAGTGATGCTAATATAGCAACTGTTGCACTATGCAATCAATGCTCTCTACTAGTTTTTGACTCAGTAGTTGAGAATTGTAGCTCTATATTACATTTCCATCATAATTTGCATCACATCCAAGCCTTGGTTTGTTCTTCAGCACAGTCTATTTAACATGGTGTCCGTTATCAATTATGATTTTTCATTTTATTCAGTCTTCTCTAATAAAGCAAATGTTCATAGTTCCTACAGAATTAAATTGTTTAATTCTTGTAACTTTTGAAATACCTTCCCTTTATCTCTCCTACTTCAATCTGAGATATTCTTTGAACTCAAATTTAAAAAGAATCCCATTTATTTTTATTTTTATTTTTTTTTTTTGAGACAGGGTCTTGCTGTGTAGTCTGTAGTCTAGACTGGCCTCCAACTCATAGTGATCTTCCTGCTTCAGCCTCCCAAGTGCTGGGATTACAGGTGTATGCCATGATGCCCAGCTCACATTTCCTTTAAGATTTACCTAAGCTAGTGTTTGGAGCACTGATTATTTTAATTTTTTTGTGGTACTGGGGATTGCCTTTGTCCTGAGCTACATCCCTAGTACTTTTCATTTTTTCATTTTTTGAGACATAATCTCACTGAGTCAGAAAGTTGCCTAGGCTGGGCTCAAACTTGCCAATGTTTTGCCTCAGTATCTCAGAATGCTAGGGTTACAAGTGTTTGCCACCATGTCCAGCTTACTTATATTCTTTTTCTTTTTTTCAGTACTGGGGATTGAACTTGGGTCCTTGGGTTTGTGAGGCAGGAGGCGGAACCACTGAGCTAAATCCCCAGCCTGCTTACTTATATTCTTGAGTCTCATTAACTGACTGGATGTAGTTGTAAGAGTTTGGGGACATATTAAAGTTTGGAAATTTTCTCAGTGAACGACATTTTAAATTTTCTCAATATTAAGTATATAATGTGAAACTGCTTTTTGTGGTAAAAGCAGCAGTTACATAATTTGAAGTGGAAGAGTTTGGGGGTTGAGATAGAAGCAGATGTTATGAATAACTTGTATATTTCTAGGTTGAGAAAGGGAATTCTGGAAGAGAACCTGTGTTTGGAAGGGGAAGTAGAGATGTCTGGAATTGAAGTCTTGGTGGGGGCAAAAGAATAGTAATGATAGGAATAGTTCAGTAGTTTTTTAAAAAAGATTGAGGAGACTGTAATAAGAGTATAATATTCAAATTTATGACTTTGATTGTAGAACTCTTATGGGTGACAGAATCCAAGATGTGGATATATTGGAGTGGAAAAGATCTTGGAAGTTGGTTGGCATGGAGTTGTGAGGCAAGGATTAAACAAAAATCCCTATTTTGGTGGAGGGAAAATGTCAGGATAAGGACAGGTGTTAAAAGTTCCCAGTAAGAGGGAATGACCAGTGGTTAGTAGATGGACTAAGTGGTGAGGAAGGAGGGAAAAAGGTATGTATAAGAAGTGCTAAAGATCCAAGGAATAAGCTTTTTGCAAGACAATAGAAAATAATGGTTTAAAAGTAACAAAGGTAAACGAGCTTCAGGAGTCATCAGCTCCACAGTTTGATCCTGAGACACATGGAGTGTGAAAGAATAATAGTCACTATGTGTAGAAATACACCCTTGACATACTGACTTCAGTTCCTTTGGATATATACTCTGTGGTGGGATTGTTAGATCATGTGGTAGTTATGTTTTTAATTTTTTTGAGGAATCACCATACTGTTTTCCATAAGGGCTGTACTATTTAGTACTTCTCTTTAGAGGCAACCACTTAACATTGCTTTTTGGTGTTACTGAGGATGTAACCTGAGGTTTCATGCAGGGCTGTCTTCTAGCCCTCCTTGTAGATTTTTTTTCTTTTTTTTCACTCTGGATCTTGCTATGTACTTCAGGCTGACCTTGAACTTGATATGTAGTCCAGACTGGTCTTGAACTCATGGCAATCCTCACCCTTCACAGTGCTGGGATTATCAGCCTAAGAACATGTTTATACTCCTCCTTTCTGATCTTTCTGATTTAAAAAAACTTTTTTGGTACGAGGTTCTATCTCAGGTCCTTGCACTTGTGAGGCAGACAGCAGAATCACTGAGCTAAATCCTCGACCCTCCTCCTTTCTGATTTAAAAAATTTAAATATTGATAACTCTTTACTTTCTCCATCCTTCAACCCATCCTTCCTCTCTTATTTCAATAGTTATATTACAACTTTTTTTTTTTTGTGGTATGGGGATTGACCTTGTGGACCTTGTGCTTGTGAGGCAGATGTGGCACCACTGAGCTAAATCCCCAGCCCGATATTTGGTTTTAAAAGTCCATATTTATCTAATTGTATGGGTACGTATGAGGTGTGATAGAAAAATATGGTGTGTGCTTAAATAAAAAATTATTACAATAAAAGACACATTGCCATTAAAATCCCTCAGAATGCTCCCCCTCACTTTGAACATACTTATCCCATTGTTCTTGCTACTGTACTTTCTAAAGAAGTTCTGGAAGTCATCTTTCATGTCTCTAGTTACGCTGTTTTGTCTGCCTTGATATCCTGAATCTATTCAAAACATTTCCCTTTCATGGTTATTTTGACTTTAGGGAAAAGCCAGAAGTCACACAGTGTGAGATCTGGTGAATAGGGCGGACAAGGACACGGTTTCTATGAAGTCTTCCTTTCAGTTGGATGGCAGTTTGCAGTAGCATTCACTGCAGTTTTATGTTTTGGTACCAGGGATCAAACTCAGCATCTTGTACTTACTAGGCAGGCGCTTTGCCGCTGAGCTAAATCTCTGGCCCTCACAACATTTTTTTTTAATACCTTGTAAAGACACTCACAAAAGAGGATTTCCAGAACTACTTAAGAAAGTGACACAGGGCTGGGGATTTAGCAAAAAAAAAAAAAAAAAAAAAAAAAAGTGACAAGAATGATGGGCTAAGTGGTTTTAGAATGAGGGGGAATGTTTCGAGGAGCATTAACAGCAGTGTGTCTTTTACTGTAATAAGTTTTTTTAGCTGCAGATATTCTCTGTTTTTTTTAATCACACCTGTGTATAGTTGGCCTTCCATTTCCAAAGGTTTCTCATCCATGGATTCAACCAACCTTGGATTGAAAATATTTGAAAAAACTATTGAGTCTGTACTGAATATGCCCAGGCTAATTAATTGATTAATTAATTTTTTGAGACAGGGTCTTGCTATACAGTTCAGGCCAGCCTTGAACTCACTATGTAGCCCACTCTGGCCTCAAACTCAGGGGAATCCTCCTGCCTTAGCCTCCTGAGGCATAGTATTTATTTTGAATTTGACACTATGAGTAATTTGGAGATGACAAAGGATGTGTGTAGGTTATATGCAAATACCTTGCCACTTTATGTAAGGGATTTGAGGATCTACAGGTTTTGTGTCTGGGTGTCCCGGACCCATGAATGCTTGTACGTGTTCTTTACAGGCCCATTGTGAACTATGATTATATTTCTTGTAATTAATTACCTTTTCCATTTCAGCTTAGTTGTTTTTTTTTTATGATGATTACTAATGTGTCCACAGATTTGTAACACTTTGAAGCACCATCTAACAGTAAGGCTTGCTTTATCTTTCCCAAGGGAGGTCTCACTCCTGGGCACTGAGCCCTGCTGTAGTCTGTGCTGCCTTGTATAGACACAGTTGTCATTCAGCGGCCTTCCTTTGCCACAGTCCTGGCAATTTCTTTTCAGTTTCCACCTCAGTTGGTTCCCATTTAATCTTCTGATTATTCACTCGATTCTACTCATTCTCTAGTAGCTTCCTGAAAAAGGATGCATAGGAGGTAACTTTTTTTGAGGTCTTAAATATGAACATATTTTATTGAGTCTAATTCTAGAAGTAGAGAATGGAACTCGTTTTCTATTAGGGTTATGAAGGTATCGATTGCATCATTGTCTTGTAGCTTCCAGGGTTGCTGCTGAAGTCTTGTAATATCTCAGTCTGGATCATTTGTATGTTACCTTTTTGTTTCCGGAGCTTGTAAGATCTTATTTTTGGCATGTTTTCATGGTAATGTGCCTTAGTTTGAGGTTTTTTTTCATTCTTTGTAAATCATTCTCAAATCAGATGTTGAAATTAAGAAATAATAAGGTACTGTTAAAAGCGACATGGAGAATGCCATAAAAGGACTTTGCAGAGCTGGGTTTGCAAGATGCTCTTCACTTGGCTGGAAGGGTTGCATGAATTTTAGTTCCTTTCCAGCCTTAGCCAATGTGTCAGTTGTCCATTGAGGGGTAAGGCCTTACTATATACCAAGGATACTGACTGCTCTTCTGGAATTAAATGTTCATTGTAAAGGTAGATCCTAGCAAGGGCAAGTAAAGGTGTACTACCTTAGTGTTGAGTGTTAGGGAGAAAAAATTTAAAAAGGGACATGAGTAAGAAATACTATGTGGTAATAACCTCAGTTAATGCAAACGTGTGCCATAATGTGAACCAAGACGAATAATGTCAACAAGAATGAAAGATGGGATAGAGTGGAGGAGGGAGGGAGGGGAAGGAAAGGGAATTTAAAAAAGGAAGTAAGCTTTAGTATGTACTTGAAACCACTCCCCAAGATGATTGTAAATTGCATGTACTGGAAACATATTTTAAAAAATGGGGGCTGGGATTTAGCTCAGTGGTTCCACTGACTGCCTCGCAAGTACAAGGTCCCAAGTTTTGATCCCCAGTACCATAAAGAAAAATGGGCTGGGGATGTAGCGCAGTGGTGCTGTGCCTGCCTGGCAAGCACAAGGTTCTAAATTCAATCCCCAGTACTGGGGGCAGCAGGGGGAAAGACTATGTGGAAGGCTGTGATCTTTTCTTTTTAGGTGGTTGGCCATGGAAGCCTCCTTGAAAAGGAGCCATTTGACCTTCCTTGCAAATGCAAGGTCCTGAGTTTGATCCCCAGTACCAAAAAAAAAAAGAAAAGAAAAGAAAAGAAAAGGAGCCATTTGCATAAAGACTTGAAGAAGTGAGGCAGCTGATTAAGAGTTTCTAGGGGAGGAACATTAAAAGCAAAGGGACCGAGCATGGTGGTGCACACCTGTAATTCCAGCACTCGGGAGGCTCAGGCAGGAGGATCGCTGTGAGTTCGAGACCAGCCTGGTCTACATAGTGAGTTCCAGGTCAGTCTCAACTATACAGTGAGACCCTGTCTCAAAAAAAGCAAAGGGGCTAGGGAATGGGGATTTAGCTCAGTGGTTCTGGCGCCTGCCTTGCAAGTGCAAGGGCCCAAGTTCGATCCTTGGTACCCCCCCAAAAAAAAAAACAAAGGAAAGGGGCCAGGTGTGGTGGTACATGCCTGTAATCCCAGTACTCTGGAGGCTGAGGTTGTGAGTTCAAGGCCAATCTCCTCTATATAGTGAGTTCAAGGTCAGCCTGAACTACACAGTGAGACTTGTCTCAAAAAACCAACCAAGCAACAAATAAAGCAAAGGGAAGAGCCAAGACAGAGGCTCTGAGGCAGCAGTATGACCAGTGTGTTTGAGACACAGTTGGAGGGAGAGTAAGGCTGGATTACACTGTATGGACTGGCTTTAATACTGAGGGTGCAGGGTTAAGCATAGAGGGGTGCTGTTGCCTAACCTTACAACAGAGCTACTGTGGCTATTGTTTTGAGAAAAGTCTAGGGAGGCCAGGGCTGAAGTGGTAAGACTAGTTGGGAGATTACTGTGGTATTCTGGACCTTGTGGAATTAATGAGTGGTTGAATTTTGAATTTGCTGATGTATCGGGATGTAGAATGTGAGAGTGAGGAATAATCAAGATTATTTTAAGGTTCACGGCTCCTATGGGCTCTTTTTTTTTTAGACAGGGATTCACTATGTAGCTCAGGATGGCCTTGAGCTCACTATGTAGCTCAGGCTATCTTCGAACTCACAGAAATCCTCCTGCCTCAGCCTCCCAAATGCTGGGATTATAGGCATGTGCCACCATGCCTAGCTTCCTGTGGGCTTTATAAACTACAGAACTTGGTTTCAATGTAAGTAATATCTAGTCTGTTAAATGAGCACTTTGCTAAAGGATAGCATAGAAGTATTTTAAATAATTTTGATTATAACACAAATTTTCTTTCTTAAAGCTCTTCACCGAATATGGTCGTCTGGCAATGGATGAAATTTTCCAAAAACCCTTCCAGGTACAATATTAACTATGATTATAATTCATATCTTTGTTTTAGTTTGCAGAGCATCAAACTTCAGCTCATAGATCAAATCTGGCATTCTACCTGTTTGTTTTTATGACCTATGAACTAAAGATGGTTTTTATGTACGTATATATACATTTTGTGCAGTGCTGGGGATCAAACCCAGGACCTCATGCAATGCTAGTAGGCAAGTGCTCTGCTCTTAAGCTACATCCCAAGAACTGGCTTTTGTATTTTTAATGTTTGAAAAAGAAAAAGATGAATATTTCATGACATGTAAATTATCTGAAGTTCAAATGTCAGCATCCATACCTAAAATATTAGTGGCATATTTATTTTATCTGTTTATGCATCAGCTGTGACTGCCTTCTTGCTACCGCAGCAGAACTCAGGAGCTGCTTAAGATATTTACTCTCTGGCTCTTACTAGAAGACATTTGCTGACCTGCACTTTAGCCTCTTGTGAGGCTAGTGGTGCCTCAATATGTGATCATTATTTCTTTTCCCCCTTTATCGGGGGATTCAGTTAGTACTACAGGTGCCTGCCAAACTGTGCTGTTTCTTTTTTCTTTCTGATATAAATAGCAGATCTCATTATTAGTTGGTGCCACTTTGTTTGCTCTCTTGTCCTTTACTGAGTTCTCCCTACTTGCTTTTAGGGCAGAGCCCCAAATTTATGTTGTCCACTAGTCTCTTCAATAACCTTTGGGGATGAAACTAGCAGTTGAGATATATTGACTTCATATTTAGCTTAGATGTGTCCTTCTAGTGTTTATAAAGTTTCTGTATTATGGAATAGATAAATCTTTCAGCACATGTCTTTGTCCCCTTTGGGGAAATTGGTGTTATGCAGACATATACTGCAGTTATTATCTTGAAAATGCATTCATGCAAAGTCATAATATATTTTACTCTCTTGTTAAATAGACACTGATGTTTCTAGTTCGAGACTGGAGTTTCCCTTATGAGTATAGCTATGGACTACAAGGAGGAATGGCATTTTTGGATAAACGTTTACAGGTAAGTAGGAATAATTTGTGGTGTAGAATTGCCTAAAAGCATTAATGACTTTCTTATTTGCCTTTGGATATTGAATTTAAAGCAGATTATTGAAAATGATACTATGTGTGTTAAATATGTATGAATATTAGTGTAAATGAATATTATTTATTCTTGATAAAATTAAAGAACGTGGGTAATGTCCAGCAGTTGTAGAGAACAATTCTAGTCAAGAGCCTAAGTATGATTATAATTTGTGTTTCACATTTTAAACCAGGTTCTAATGTACCTTTGTTTGTTTATTTATTGGCAGAGTCTTACTATGTAGTTGCTGGCCTCGAACTCAAAGCCAGCCTCCTGCCTCATCCTCCCAAGTGTTGGGAATATAGATGTGTGCCTCCATGCTCAGCTTAATGTGCCTTTAGAATGTGACATTTAGAATTTTAGTTGTTATAGTCTTTTTTTTTTTTGAGACAAGGTCTTGCTCTGTTAGTCCAGGATAGCCTTGAATTCACTATGTAACCCAGGTTGGCCTTTAACTCAGCAGTGATCCTCCTGCCTCAGCTTCTCAAGTGCTGGGATTATAGGCGTGTGCCACCATGCCTGGTAGTTTGGCATGGATATAAACAAACCTATCCTGTTCCCCCAAAAACAAAGCACAGGAGTCCTTTGTCAGTCATTGCTAGATCCTCCTTCCTTCCTACAAACCTCCTTTTGTCCTTCTTAAGCATTGTGCAATACAGTTAAAAAAACAAACAAGCTCTTTATTACCTGTCTCTAATTATAGGAGCCAAGTGTAGTTAATCACACTCATACAATTATTTTTTCTGAGGGTTCTGAGTTTTCCATCAGAGTTGGAAAGTCTTCTTTCCTTTGTCCTCACACTGGTGATTCCTGGTGAAGAACACCAAATAGCCTTTGGTTGGTAAATTGTTGGTCTTTGTTGGCAGGTAAAAGAACATCAACATGAAGAAATTCAGAATGTTCGAAATCACATTCACTCGTGTTTCTCCGATGTTACCTGTTTTCTCTTACCACATCCAGGCCTCCAAGTGGCCACAAGCCCTGACTTTGACGGGAAATTGAAAGGTGTGTTATAGATGTTGTTGTTCCAAATGTGTGACTTGGTCTGTGGAATTAAATAATAACCAGTAAATGTCAATTAAGAATCGAGTGATTGCTAGCAGGTGTGGTAGTGCACACCTGTAATCTCACCACTTGGAAGGCTGAGGCAGGTGGATCACTGTGAATTCAAACCCAGCCTGGGATACATAGCAAGACCCTGTGTTAAAAAAAAAGTGAATGCTTAAGAGAAATATCCTGGTCTCTTAGAAAGAGTATTTAGAGTCTAGTTCATATTTTGCTCCTAATTTACTGTGACCATCAGAATTAGTTTACATCTGTTTATCTGAAATTATGATGGTTATATCCATCAGTGATCTCTTTTCCTTCCTTTTTCCTTTTTCTTCCTTCTTTCCTTGTGTGTGTGTGTGTGTGTGTGTGTGTGTGTGTGTGTGTGTGTGTGTGTGTTTGAGACAGGGTCT